CAACTTTGTTATTTCTAATTTAACGATAATAAATTATTCAAGAAGAATGATTGGTTGACTTGAATTTTTATCAGGTCAGGTCAGGTCGGTTCGACCTATTGACTTGACCTGACATCAACTTAAAAATCTATTGACCTGACCTGAATTTTTAGGTCAGTTCAGATCAGATAAACAGGTCAATCTGACCTGATTCGGAGCTCTAATAGCATATTATTAGCATCCAGAACTCATGTTCTGTTGGAGAAGAAGATATATCAAATGTAACAATTGTATCACAGCCAGATACTGAGCCTGAGAGGTGCTTCGCTTCTTCTAATCCTGTAAAAGATCAGTCTATAAATGAAGTAATTAGTGATAACATAAACATCAAGTCAATAGAGAAAAGGGAGACAGACACTTTCTTAAGTGAAGTGTATAAGAAAAGTGTTAGCAATGAGATTAGGCAGAAGAATAGGAAAAAGAAATTATTACGTGAATCAGCTATTCAGGACTTATCTTATGAAATGAAGGATAAAAAATCTCAATCATATAAGAAGAGGGAAGCGGAGAATATTGTATAGCCACTTCGGTGTTTGAGAAAAATCATATGACCGAAATTTTGATAACAGCTTGTCACGAAAAATCTGATACAGATAATCCTTTAAATATATTGCAAAATCTAACCTGCTTAATATAAGAAGCATAGGATGCGAAAGATGAAGTGATTTGAGCTAATCAAAAAGAAATATTGTGTTGGTGTTCCTATATTATAGAATTCGATAAAAAGATTAAAGAGTTCATAATCGACTATAAAGTTAACGAGAAAAAAGCAAAAAGTATGATTTATGATAATCTTACTAAACTTCTCCTTCCTGGTACTAATAAACGTAACATAATAGTAAAACAAACTCGGAGAGCGAGAAATATATACAAATTATTTGAGAAAATAGGGATTGATAAAATCAGGTATATTATAACGTATAGTACGAATTTCTTATCGGAATTATCTGATAGTAATTTCAAACTATTATTGATTATTTCTCCAAGAATCCCAACACTGAATTACCTGATGATCAAGAAAGCTCTATTATTAATTCTAAAGAGGAGATTTCAGATGATCAGACTAATGCATCTACCACATCTTTAGTAAGTGACCTAACTACACCTATTCCTTCAACCCATGTCTCTAATTCTTCAAGTGAGACGAATCCAGGCAATACTTCCAAAATTGAGGTAAGCAATCCGCTCAAAGCTGTGAATGATTACTACAAAATGATCTTGAAAGAATGTGCGAAGGATTGTGAGTATTTTGATAAGAAAATTGATTCTACGCTCCAGCCGGTGAAAGAAACGAATGAAGAAGTTGCTTCACAATCAGAAGAAAAATCAAACGAAATCAAGTCAGACAATGAAAACGATTCTAGTGATTTTAAAGAGAAAGAAGACTCAGATGCCTCCGATGCCAATAAATTTGATTCCGATGTATATTTTAAATCTGATGACTCTAACTCCGATGATGAATATGATTACGAACTTTATGAAAGGTTCATTTATGAAGAAATAGCTCGATTAGCAAAGTTAGAGGAAAAAACACAAACTAAGCCTACCGATGACGATTTCAATAAAATACTCATAGAAATTTACAAGAACTGTGATATATATTTTGATGATCCTGTATCTCAGTCAGTGGTGAGTCCTACCATCTCCGGTAATCGCCTAGGATGAATTGCATATTCGCATAAATTAGATTGTCTTTTTTTTTTCAAATAACGTGGGTGACTTAGATGTTATGTCTCAGGGCGTATAGCAGTTTAGCCAATAACATTCCATGCTCAGCAAAAAAATAATATATATTCCATGGGTACTTAAATTTTATAACCTCTGAAGAGTGTGGACCACTTGACCTGAAAATGAACGTAATTTCTTTGGTATCAAGTATGAAGAACTTCATAATTTCTTTACTACCTAGAGTGTTGTCGACCGTCAGAATATCTTATTCTAACATTCCAATCTGAGACCCTGAGGGAAATGTTCGCAATGCACAGTTTTTTCACCTTAACCCAACTCCAAAGGAGGTGGAGAATATTAAATAATGTTTTGAACTATCATTAAACTATAATACCTATTTCTCCAGACCAAGAGGGTGCGTCAGAAAAAGAAAAAGTATTAGAAATAGTAATAGAATTGGCAAAAGAAATAGTAATAAAATTAGCAAAAGAAATAGTAAAAGAAATAGCGATAGTAAAGGAATTAGTAATAGAAATAGTAATAGGAATAGTCCTCAAGACCTGATCCCTTGCTATGAGGCGCTTCGCATGGGACCCCTCAATAATAAAATAAGTGGTCATCAATATGAAAATTTTTTGAATGCATTTATATAAGTAATAAATATTATATGGGACTGGAACCTAAGGGAATTTTAATACACCATAAAGAGTGTCATTTTTTCTAGTTAATCGGGGTCAGTCTAAAGATTATGATGAGGCAGAAGACCTTCTTATTCAGAAATTTAGATTTTTTAGCAGACGATGAATGGGTGGGTTCCTTATCATATAGCATTTCTACAGTTCATTAACTGCTACTTTTAGTATCATATCTGGCCGGTCAGATAATAAATTCGTTCTTTTATATTTTTAAAAACATTGTTTCTCATAATTACCATTGATTCATAAACTATTAACTAAACAAATGAATTCAATTTTATCATGTTCTCTTCTTACAGTTAATATTCAGATTTTTTTTAGCCAACCTGCCTATTCATCATGTTCATATTAATAAAACAATATTTAGGTATGGATATTTTTTTTGGCAATCAATATCTCACATATGAGATTTGGGAGATGTATGCTAATCCTTTATCATTTTTTATTGATTTGCAAGAGATTAATGAATGACGAAATGTAGTGCGTAATTGCTAGTAAAGATCTGGAAAATGTTTTCTCCTACGATATTTACAAGTGCTATAAAAAGGAACTCTTTTTTCTCAAAACTGTTTTAATGCCTTATCTTCTAGACGATTAACAATTGAAGGTGAACAATATAGATAAATCATATATTGAAGCTCTTGCAATAAATATCATTAGTAAAGCTAACGCTCTCCTCTCCTTCAGTGAGAACACTAGTATTTCAAAAGTAGATCTGTGCCTAATATACGGGAAGATATTTATACGCTTGAACTCGACATAATCAAAGATAAAGATGGTCACCAAAATTAAAAAAAATGGCGCAATTGAGTTGCAACTTGTGGCGCAATTAAATTGCAACTCAATTGAAATTTGAAAATAATTATGGGGACCATCTTTAATCAAAGAATTTACCTTAGCTTCCTGTGGACACATTTTTTACCAAAAGTATCTTGAAGAGTATTTGGTGGATGGTAAATCAAATTGTCCTTATGATGGTTGTAATAGAGATATCGAAACTTTTCTCTCTCAGGATCTTTTAAAGGGATTACAAAATCAGATAGCCCCCAAAGACGTAGATAACAATAATGAAGCGCTTACAGAAGAATCTAAAAATCAGAAAAAATGTACTAGAAAGATAGTAACTAAAGATAACGTTGCAACATTGTAACACTTATTTGTCACCTGTTACAACTTAAATTTTAATAATGTTGCAATTCGTTACAACATTGTGATGCTTATTTGTCACCTGTTGCAACTAATTGAGGCGCCATTTTTAATAGTAACGAATCATGCGAAGTGTCTTTTGGCTCCACATCTACTTCTGGTAAAAGATAAAGAAGACTAAGAAGGAAGTTGATCAGGATCAATCCCTCACATTGCAAAGATTGATTAAAGAGTTAACTACTACCGATCCTGGAGATGAAGAAATTTTGCAAACTGAACCTGCCTCTGAATCAAACAATGATTCAAATATCTTTCTCAACCTATATACAGTCAACTCTTGTTATAACGAACTCTATGTCCTAGACCTCAACTTCACTATAAGGCTATAGTGAAGAGTTTAAGAGATTTGATTGGCTAATTCGCTATAACAAGAGTATTTTTATTATATTTGTTCAAAAAATTCATTATATCAAGAGTTCGCTATATCAAGAATTAACTGTAATAAGATTGTTGCCAGTAAAGACTAACTAAAAAAGATAACGCAAGATGTTCTTTGCTATTACTTTGATTTTGGAAAAGCAATGAAGAAAAGGTATAATCATTATAGATCATTGAAACATGAAGATTTGGCGTCTCAGTCTCTAGTTAAGGATGATGTGCAGAAACAGCTTCTTAATGTTTCAGAAGAAGCTCTTCAAAAAAGAATTAAAAGAACTCAAAAGGTTTATGGTCTCTTCAATAGCATCAATGTGGATGTAAATATGGGTAGGGCTATGATAGGAAGAATTAAAACTTTTTTATTATTAACTATAACGACCTTGTCTAAAGAAGACATTAAATACGTAATTGTTAAAGTGCTTTAGAGATAGTTTAGTATATTATGTCACATATTACAGCGCCTGTGACTTGTATGTCCAGCAATATCTGTTATAGTGTAAAAAATAGTGTTCTGAAAACAGCCGAAAGACGCATATATTAATAAAGTTTAATCATTTATTTTTTTAATTAATACATGATTAGCTTGAAATGATTTTTGATTGATACTAACACCATCTAATTAGCGGACATACATATCCAAAAATGTTTGATCAATATCTAATTAGCGGACATGCATGTCCAAAAATATTTGACTGACACTACCACCACTTAATTAGCGGACACGCATATCCAAAAATATTTGATTGATACTAAAACCATATAATTAGGATATATATATATCAAAATATTTAATTGATACCTAATTAGTGGACATGCATATCCAAAAATATTTGATCGAATTGCTGCCACCTAATTAGCGACATGCATGTCCAAAAATATTTGATCGATACTAACACCACATAATTAGTGAATATACATGTCTGAGATTTCTTAATACTACGCTAGGATTACTGCACCTCTGTCGTCTAATTTTCTCAGAATATAATTAGCCGATCATCTCATGACTTATAGAAACTCGCCAGCTCCTGAAACATTTTTAGAACTATCAGAGAACTAGGGGAGATCTCATGTGATATGATATACAGTACATCATATCACAAACCAATTTAGCCGAAGGCGTTATGCATAAAGATGGTAACCATAATTAATATGTTGCAACATATAATGTTATAACATATGTTGCAACTATGTTGCAACAATTG